CAAAGTACGTCCGGTTTTTATACTATTTCAGATAAAATATATAAAAGTAGAATAGAGAACATATACAATTATACCTAATAAAAGCATTTTCATAGTCATGCTACAAATATAACTTGCCTATCTAAAATACACAAAAAAAAGGTGAAACAAATAATAGCAGTAATCTATTTACATTAAAAATATCCATCGATTATTATTATTATTATTCATCTTCTTGACATTTAGCATCTGGAATTGATAGCGATTGAGCTATCATCGACGTCCTCTGTTTTGATAATGTCGGTTCTGCCAACATTTTATAATCATCAATTACAAATTCTACTTAATAACGGACCAACAAATGCATTTTCTCTATCCAATATGTGCAGTTACGTGATACTGATATGTAACATGTAAGATATCTTAGTTCAGGATTCAAGTATTTCTTGAATGAATTCGCTGTCAAACCTATTTCATTTTGGCTTGCTCTGATTTCAAGTACAGCTCGATGAATTCTATCGATTATGTACCTCATGCGTTAGATTTTAGCATAATCATCAATAAAAAAGAAGAAAGTGCTAATTAGTCCTTTGTTTATATACATAGGTGAGTTCACTCTAATAAAGATTGACACGATTTGTCTATGAGTCAATTGATGGTATTTCCTATTTTAACAAGTAATGTGTGGAATTGAGTGCTATTCTCGGAAATATCATTGTTATTATTGAAATCGGCTTATGGCAAAATCGTAATACGTTTAATGCAAATCTAGATAGGCTTTTTTTTCATTAATTTGTATTTTTCTCTGAAATTGATGCGTCATTTTTCGAAAACCAATCTCTGCAATTGATAGAGTTCATCATGTTCTATTTTAAACCAGCACAAATTGAATTCAAATTGGCTTGAAACCAAATCCATTCAGGAAATACTCGACTCCTGACATGGAATATCCTACATTCTTAATTAGCATTTTTTTACTATATAAAAACAACATTTTTGGAAATCATATTCTTTTAAACCTTACATCTTATTATAGATACGACAGTATTAGTTGAAATATGAAACCAAACACAATAACTTTCAGAATTATTGCCAACAGAAATTTGGATGATCGACGTCTTTTTCTTTTTGAATTTTAACTTTAATAAAAGAGATGTCGCAATTCACTGATTTATTGATCTATTTAAGTTTATCCATTGGTTATCCGTTTTTCTTAAAATATTTCAGTGAAGTCTTTGTTTTTTTTTTCTTTTGCTCTTTCATCAAATATTATTATTACAACAAAAGGTGTGAAAACAAAAAACATGGATATCGATTTAGTTAATGATCTTCGACGACATGACGATGATGATGATGATGAAAGCGATGAAAATGATGAAAAACTTAAAAAAGATGATAGCGAAAATGAAGAATCAAAAAAGACTGATGTTGAAAGTGTAATGAAAAAAGCTAATGAGGTAGCAAAAAAAAAAGTTGCACGACGTCCTCGACCAAAACTTGACGTTGATCGGTAAACTAATTTTTACTTTCTTATAGTAAAAAAATTGCTTTTCTTTTTTAATTACTAAATCTAGATTAACTGGTCCAAGAGGATTAGATGAATTATGTAGTCTATTTAAAAATGAAAAATTTAAAGGCAAGGGTTATGAAGTAAGTTAATTATTGACAATAATCTCTTTCTATTTTTGATTATCAAAATCTATGCAGTTTGTTGATCTTGACACATTAATGCATAAATTTGAATATTGGGCACATCGTCTTGTGCCACATATGGCTTTTGATGATTTTATTGAAAAAGCTGAAAATCTTGGTAGTAAAAAACCAGTTAAAGTATGTGAATCAATCATACTCATATTCTTTTGAATATAACATTTCGGTTTTCTTTATCTAAAGAATGCACTTCAATGTTTACGTGATAAATTAAATATTCAAACATTACCAGATGATGATACACAAGCTGGTCATACATTAGTAATTGAAATTTGATCAAAAGAAAGAAAAATAAACTATATTTCATTATTTTCTATTCTTTATTTTTAGCTCGATTTATTACCAAGTATCGATCCTGAAAATGATAACAATACTAATAATGACATTCCAGATGATAATGAATTAAATGAATTATTTCAATAAACGTCAAATCGTTTTTTTTCTTTATTTGTTCTTATTATTATTGCTGTACAATGGGAAAAAAAAAACTTTTGTAGCTCGACGAAAAACAAACAGAAAGAAAATGAAATAGAAATACAAGCAGAACAAAAGAAAAATGAGAAAAATGAATCGGCAGCGGTTATTTTTCATTTACCCTACCTGAGATTTGGAAACATACAAAACAACGGTTAATAGAAATACAGGTGAAAATCAAATAAACTAAAAAAATTTCATTCATAAGCTAAAAATATGTATAATTAAAGACACAAAAAAACTCCAATAGTATATATATATACAAAAAGACGAAAAAAAAAACGAGAGCGTTTTACGTCATATTAACGATGTCATAAAGCTATTCGCGCGAATAATTCACAACAGCAAACACACTAAAAAACGAAGAGATTAAACATTGAATAAAACTTTGCAAACATCAAACACAAAAAGAAAAACAATCGAATAACGACACACACACATACGAATTTTCCTGAGTTTAATTTTCTCTTTGTTTTCTCATTTTGTTGTTCTTTTTCTCTTAACAAAAAAAAGAAATCATAGATATTTGCTTAATAAAGGGGAAACATAGTTTAGCGTCGTGCGCATCTGACCATAGAAACTATTTTTCATACATATATATATTTATAAAAACAAAAAAAAAAGAAAAAAGAAACAAACGCATAAGTCAATAGAAATGTTTTGTTCATACATAACAACACTCTTATATTAAATATCAGTTAGACAAACAGATTAATGTACGAATAGAATTTTTTTTTTTAATATATACATGAATTGACAATGCTCATCATATAATTATGATTCAAGCTCTTGAATTGTGATGTTTGTTTATGTTAATTTTCCATGCGAAATGTATCATCACATAATTGGGGATCAATGGAAAGGTCATGCACATTGAGCAACTAAAGTAAAATAATTTAAATAAAAAAATCAAATGAATCATCTTTATGTACAAAATCATCCGGATTTAATTGTAAATCAGTTGGATCAATTAAACTGTCGAAAGCATGTGTAAAATCATTTGCTAATTCTTTCGATAAATCCAATTTTGAACTATCAACATCTATAAATAGAAAAAACAATAAACAAAAATATTTTGAAATGAACACATGAATATATATATATATATATATATTATAAAGAAAATATCTTACCAGTTAATATTATATTCGGAATCGTTGGACTTTTTTGTGTAACATTCGTTGTTACAGTAACAGTTGTTTGAGTTGGACAATAATTTGATGGTCTAAATAAAAAACAAAATAAGATATAATAAGAACTAAAAAATATTTTATGATTAATATTAATTCAAAAGATTAATTATCTATATTATTATATATATACTTAGCAAGTAATTTGACTATTATATCTGTAACAATAAAAACAAAATAGATAAATGAAGAAAATAAAAAACTAAAATAATTATAATTGAAACCTTGATTTTTTTTCCTTCAAAATAAATCAATACTTACGCATCATTCATAAAAGTTGGATAAAAATTTTGTGGTCGAAAATAAGTTAAATGTGTTCCATTCATATCATTTGATAATGATGTTAAAACTGATGTTGGTGATGATGGATGATTAAGATTTTGATTTGGTGATGATGACGGTGATGGTTGTTGTTGTGTATAAAAATTATTATCCTAAAAGAAAAATTAATAACATTTTTATTTATATAAAAAGATTTGATTTATTTGCTCTTTTTTTTTAAAAAGATTTACCAATGTAATTTGATCAAAATGTGTAGGTAATGTAAAATATGGTTGTTGTTGATTATTTGTATTATTATCTGTTGATTGTTGAGGTGAAAATGGACTATAATCATTACCTGGACTTGGTAATAAATGAGGAGAATTTTGAGGAGAATAACTTGATTGAGATTGAGGACTTGATGGTTCAACACGATAAACAGTTTGTTGATTCTAAATGATTAAAAAAAGAAAAACAAACAAAATTGATCATTTCTAAGAATAATATTGAATAAAGAAAGATAATCGTTTACTGAACAAACATCAGGTGATGGAGAATTTTGTCGACGTGGTGATGATTGTTTAACTTCACCAATTGGACTGTGACGTCGACGATTACTTGGACTTTGTTTTAATGGACCAATATTTGATGGTAATTGTTGTTGAGGACCCTAATATAACAAGTAATGAAATATATGTAGTTTTTTTTTTTTTTTTTTTGTTCAATGATATTACCAAAATATATAAATCATCATCACCATTTTTTTGTAATGAAGATGAACGAAAAAAATATTGTATTGTAGATGTTGGTGGTGATGGTGCTGTTGAAAACGATACTTG